TCATGATAGGAAAGAAGTGGAATAAGATGGAAAGGTCTTCCATGTCGAAAATTAAACCCACCGAAACTACGCCAGTCCCAATCCCCGATTCTCTGCGTTCCAAAAAGGAATGTAGTCCACTTGATATTAAAAATGTTTCGAAACATTTGATTGACTAATCAAAAGAAAGAATTTTACTAATTGATCAATCAAAAATTGCTTTAAACATTTTTTGATCGATCAATCAAGGTAGCATCAAATGGACTGTAGCTAAGATTTCGCAAAAAAAGCATAAAACGGTATCGTCGGACGCTCGTTGTGAGCGCCTATCTCAGGATTTCTGCGCTCTTCTAGAAGGCAACTTTGAAAATAAATACATCGAGAAGGCATCGAAACGCTCCGACAATACCGATTTGGCTCGAAAAGCACCTCCCTCCGGAACAACTCGCGAACAGCGCGTCTCTCCGTTTCTCTCTCTTTCTACCTTTCGTGCACTGAGAAAAAAATATTTGGTATTTGTGTGTGTGATTATAATTGTATGGTAAAATGATTGATTGTCTCCGAAAACAATTATAATTTTATAGTCATTTTCGGAGACCAACTATGTTACTCTTTTTAGTATATGGAATTATAAATATAATTATTACTAACATTATAGCAATAATAACTATAAAAATGGAAATTCGAACCATAATTATTTTATCATGCAATTATAATCACAAATACCAAACATTTATTTTTCAGTGTGAAATGCTGCCGAGAAAATGCTACACGATACACAAACAGATACTCTCGATCCTAATCAATTTCATTTCCTTTTTCACATGTAAACTTCCTGGAGTGAGAAAAGAGAGAGAAAGAGAGATAGAAGGAGTAGAGAGGAAGCTGAAAAGAGGTAGATGGATCGATGGCGAAGCAGGAACGAGAGCCAGGATACCGCACCGATATTGCGGAATTGTCCGGGATGGGAGGACTCGTTAAGTACGCGTCCATTCCTCACATTATTGGCGTACGCAGAGTCGCCGAGAGAGAACGGGAACTGGAACGAGACATACGCCTCTCAGCTGATCCTCGCTCACTCCGTCGCGTTTCGTCGCTCATTTACCACCTTCTTCGTCACCGTTTGTCACGTTTCTTTCTCTTTCTTCTACATTCGCTCCTACTTTTATAATATCCCCTTAATATGTCATAAATATCACTCGCGAGTTTTTGTTATCCTTAACGCGTCACGGTGTATGTATATAATTATATTTGTTTTGTTCATATATATTTATATGTATATTAAAGTATATAGTATCACTAGAGAATATTACTTGTGTGTTCAGAAGAACCGGAATTCCTTCTGAATCCTTATCTCGCTCGATCCTTCTCTCGCTCTCCTAAAACGCTCTAAAGTTCGTTTCGACAAGTATATTATTATCCAAATCCTTTCGCATCGAGTATTCGTTTGTGTATATATCTAAGATTATCCCTTTATATTGATTATACGCGCGCGTGAACAGGCGCCACCGCGACGTTTTGTAATACTCGTAATAATCTAGCGCAGTTAAAAGTTTGAGTCAATCGCTTATTGCTCGAATTCTTCATATCTCTCACGTGATTTCCTCGTCGAGGAACGCCCCGCGCTCGTCCTCACCGACGGCGATCCTTTTCCGATCAAAAGGGACCGTTGAGATTCGTTGCGGATATTCGAAATTCGTCGGCATCGGTCGACATGAGATCATTTGGGCGACAAATTGACGCATGCAATCGTACTTAACACTTAAACGAACTACTAATAATACGAAATAAAAGGAAAGATACAATAGAAAGTAAAGAAAATAAATTAAGTGAATATCTCGCGACGATATCGTACGGTCGCATTGAACAATTCGAAAATGCTTAAGACTAAAGACTAAAATGAGAAATGATAGTTTCTAACATTGTTATTAGCACTTTGACAAATAATTTAATAATGAAAGCAAGGAAAAATATCGGCGAGAGATATCGATTCAAAAGAAACTAATTACGCTAATTCTTTCTTTTTTTTTTTACAGAAATCGGGCAAGACACGAATAATAATTCTCGCAAAAATACCACCAATTAAATACTCGCCGTCGTCGAGTCGATCTCGGGGCGTATTCTACAAGTGAATACATATAAATTAAATATTAATTTCTCTCGCAAATTCCTTAACGAATATTTTTTATAATACTTCTCACAAATTTCTTATTTACGCAGTTTAAAGACTTAAATCTAATTTATCGCTTGAGTTACGTGAGCTAATCTCAATCTTGGGTTCCCATTTCTCGCAGACGCAGTCACACGAACTCTTAAATACATTTTATAAAGATGCGTAATAATATCTCTTAAGTATCTGTCTCACATTCTCTCTCTCTCTCTCTCTCTCTCTCTCTCTCTCTCTCTCGCGCTTATGCTGAGGCCGTCCTATCGGCCCTCTTTCTTTATTGTTACTCGCTCTTCTGTCTCTCTCTTTCTCTCTCTTTTTTATAAATATCTAGATCCACTATCAGTAATGCTACCCGCTTAAGCCTAACTTAAATAGAACTCGCCAACTCGCCATCTTTTACTCTCTTAGGAGCTCATTACGTTACGCCAATCGCATGCGGCGTGTGCCGCGGGTGTGATACTGTCAATTAGTCTTACAGCTATATGCGCGACTTCTCGTACGCGGATTACATATCGCAAGTCGCTAAAAGTCTTGCTTAAAGGTTAACGCGATTTTCGAATTACTCGAATTACACATGTGTAATCGCTATAGTCTTATCCTTATTTAACGCGATGGAGAGCGGAGAAATATTGTCTTCCATTATTTGAAGAAAAATATATATATATGTATATGTATATGTGTATGTGTATATACGTGTTTACCATATGTATATATACCTATACATTTTATATATATAGTTATGTACGTGTCCCTCGTATTGTTGCTCGTGTATGTCGTACGTATGTAATATCGGGAGAGTCTGCCCGCTCGCGCAAAGTGAATTGTGTATATTGACCTGTTGCCTCTGGAAAGGCGAAAAGACGCGAGGCTCCGCCGAGAACGACAAGCGGAAGCATCAACGGCGATGCGTCGAAGAGAGACTGAAAGTGTCCGTCGTCGTTCTGTTGTGACGCTGTCGCCGTTGCCATTGCCGCTCGGATCCCGAAAAAAGGAACGCGAATAGGGAAAACTCAGAGAGCTTGTTGAGAAACGCACTTGGCCGTCTGAAGTGGATGAGTCTCCCTTCGATTCGTTCGTTTGGCACTTGGCGTTGCGGACGCGGATTCTAGTCTTTCTAATACTAGTCTTTCGCTATACGATTCGAATCGTACTGAGAGTGTAAGCGTGACTTTTTTAAATAAAAACCATCGGTTTTTATCCAAAAATGCCAGTAATCGGGAAAACGGCGTTTTATTTTCCGCGACATAACGATGAAAACGCATACTTTGGTTCGACGCATCGCATTCGTGCTTCCGCTGATCCCTGACGGAGACAACTCGATAGGGTGTTAGCGAATGTACATATATATGTGACAAAACATTATGAGAAAATAAAAAGGGACGCATAACGGAAAATAAGAAATACGGAAATAAGAAGGGAAACGATTTAGTGTTCTCTCCCCTGGTGGAGTAGAGTCGTTCACGGCGTCCGCCGCTTCTCGATTTTCTTCCTTTTATTGCTTCATGGCCGAGAGAACGGCCGTTGCGAGGAACACTCAGGAGGCTCGAGGTTGCCGCGAACGCTGTGAAACGAGTGCCGCTAATGGATCGCGTTAATTAATCGATGATTAACGTAATGGGCGTGGCGACGTGGATGAAACTCGGTTCCTCACGCTTTTGATTCTAATGCGTAAGCATTAATCTAAATAGGAACCAAAGTGTGCTGAAACGGAATGGACTTGTGATTGTCATGACTTGAAAAGTGATGTAAGCCGCGCGAAAACGAAAGACGAGGGACTCGAAAGAACTAACGTACATATAATGAGATACTTAATCTCGCCTCTTCACAAATAAATTAAGTAACGTATAATGAAAATTAAAACACAAAATTCATTCGATTTCCACTTGGGAAAATATAACATATGATTACAAGGATGACTCTGTTCTTCTAACCTCCTTCTTCGCGTGTGTTCCTCATTCGCTGGATCTCCGTACGTCGGAGATGGTTGATCCTCTTGTGTGTGGCAATCTTTGCTCTTATCCTTACTCATTCTTCGCTCGAGCGCGAATCGATTGAAATTTTAACCTTCTTCACTGGAGCCTTTCGCTTTATCTGCTTCCCACGATGCCATTCCATGATGAAAGTATCGAAGAATCCATTTCTCCCAGCATCGTTTCTCGGAGATAAGAGAACGATGGATAAAACGACGAAGTATTAACGGAAGTCATTCCTTCGTCGAGTGTTATTACTTGCAGCGCGAGCGGTGGGCCATTTCCAGAGACATTAAATCCCCGAATAAAAATCGAAAGGCGGGTTAGCGCCACGATTAACCTCAGAGAACGAATATTATATCGTACCGTACACGGGGAAGATGATCTCTTCCCCGAGGAGGATCCGTCGGATCCAAGAGATCAGAGAGCGGGAGCGCGTGCGGTGTATATCATACGTATCCCCTCTTTAAACGTACATCCCCATCCCGTACATGGATCCCCAATCGACGCCCTGGAAGCTTGACATGTCGACGTTGGTGAGCGA